CCATAATTCTGGGTAAGACCCCAATCTTAATCAGCCATTTAAGAGAGTAATAAATATTTCCCATGAGACTTTAGGGCTTGTTGGGTCTCAACTTGAAATTATCTGCATACCAACATGGCATGTCTTCTGGAAGCCTGTTCTGAATATCTTGGTAAGGCCTATTCTACAGAGGTATAAAAGGAAATTACCTTTCTACTTCAATTTTTCCTATTTGGGGGCAGGAATTTAATGAACATTTCCCTTAGCTCTATCTCTAGGCTATTTTGCTATCATTTATTCTCTACTTTTCTGACCTTTTTCTTTAAAGTTAACACACAGTATCCATCATTTCACACACATCCCCTAGTTGTAGGGTATAATTCAACATCTGTAAAATTGTTACAGAACATAATTTAATTGCCCTATAGGAAAAAGGGACTTCTCTACCTTAAAAGCCAGGGTAAATATGGAAATACGTAGACTATTGTCAGGATTTCTAAAAACAGAAAAATCAAAACATATATGCTTGAAAATCAATTTATACATACCTTTATTTTCTATCAAAATTTGCTCACTAATATAATAAAAACAAATGGGTAGGTTCAGAGCAAATGAAATGTTGCAATCACATGTGCTTTGAGTTTTGGCATTTTATATTTGTATCTTTTGGAAAGAATTTCTGTAAAACTTTTTGGTATTTTGCTATGTACCCAGGAGATGTTATGGGTCATATGTTCATCCATAATCATCTAAAAGAGAGTTAAGTATTGTTTCAAAAGCAAGCTTAGTTGGGTTTTCTTACTAAGCCCACCCTCTTATGTGCAGACATAGAAAATTTATCTAGGCCATCCAAACTAAGATTGGAACCTCAACATCAGGATGAGAGTCTTCTTCAACATTTTTTTTTTAAAAAGATTTATTTATTTGTGCATACAGAACTGGGGTGCAGGCCAGAGGCTCAGGGGCAGCGAGAGGCTTCACCAGAGACAGAGTGGGGAACAGAACAGGCAGATTGACCAAGTACACTGCTGAGGGGAGCAGCGGGTGGGTCAGAAGAGGTCTGCCACGCCATGTGGTCACCTCCAGGGCAGGCAGGAATCGAACTCATGCGGAAGTGGCTTTAGATTCTCAGTGCTGTGCTTTAAGCAGCTGCACCACCAGGGAGGGCCACTTCAACATTTTTTAAACATTGATTTTCATGTGAAGGGTACAGAATTTACCACCCCAAAACATTCCTCTTTAGCATAAAAGACTCCTTTGAACTTATTATTTTAAGAAAGAGCAGACATAGGGAAAATACTGGAAAACCAAGTTGAAAGTAGCTTTTTATAAGAGACATTTACATGTACAAGGGGAAAACAGCCGTTTTAAAGATTTCTCCCTTACTATAGTAAGAGTTACTCAGTTTTCCTGAGTTCCCTCCATATATATATATATAAAAGGTAGATGTGTTAGTTAAAGGTTTTTTTTTCTCCTGTTAATCTGTCTTTTATTATAGGAGGTATCTCAGCCAAGAACTTAGAACAATGAAGGGAAAATCATTTTTCTCTCTTACAACTGTTTGTCTGTTTCTAGAGGCTTACAAAGTTAAGTCTGTTTTTATAGTTTTCTTAGTGCATATTTCTGCCTTAAAAATACCCCTTACCATGATATATTTTATGACAAAGATAGCATAATATCTATATATTTAATTTTTTTATTATATTTTCAACACACACAGTGACTATTTTTGTTGGTTATTTTACTGTTTAGCATTTCCCTTTTTTTTCTACTTAAGTATAAATATTCTGGTCATGATAGACCAGATAGAGAGCTGGTGTTTATAGGCCTTTGTCCTCTACAATAGTGGGATAACCTGACTTTTTGTTCTTTCTGACATCATGTTCATGTGATACTGGATAAGTCATTATCCAACCTAAGTTCATATATCTGCATAATGAAAAAGAATCAATAATTTTATTTTAAAATATAATTGTATATGTTTTAAAATATTAAAAAATAGAAAACATTGAAAAACAAGCTAAGATGTCAATAACAGTTAGTTACATATGCCGATCTAAAAATTCAGAAGACAAAAAGACAAAGTGAATTTATTTTTATTTAGGATCAAATAATTGTAATTTTAAGTACAAATATTTAGGTAGAAAACCTTAAGTTTTTCCTCTACCTTATATCAGGATGGTTTATGGGAAATGAAAAGGAAGATTTAATAAGAGGTTAAAGAAAAAAGTTGATTAGTGTTAATAGGCTTGACCTATTCTTCCCTATGCATAATTAGTCGCTGAATTTCTAGAATAGATGCAAAGGGAACATAGTCTGTCCTCATGCTAACTGTATTGATACTTAACCATCAGTTCTCGAATAACTTTTTGCTTGATTAAAACAATTGCTTTTGACCTAGTTCAAAGGAGACAAGTTATATAACTTTTCTGTAGTGCCTACCTTGCTCCTTTTTAAGAATGACTTATGGATATTAACTTTTCTTGCATCAGATCTTCACCCAAAACATACTAAAATCCATGAGGAAAAGATGAGCAGATAGAAGGCATGTCTAAATGGATGGATGGCAAGGTATCATAGTCACTTATTAAAAAAAAAAAAAAAAGGTGGGTTGGGGGGGAGAGTGCCAGAATTCTATGTGAATTGGTGGCTCCTGGAATTGTGAAATACTCAATAATTTTTGTGGATAATGTGTACATATTCAGAATACAAGATTCTTTTTTCCACAGTTGGAGTGGATGCATGGCAGGGCCTAGAAGCTTTTAGAAGCACATGGATGGAATTCTATCTTGTGTTATATACTATAAGCAAATAGATGTTCCATAAGCATAGATAAGAGAGAATTGTTTAGAAAAAAAAAAGTGTCATTTTTGGATTTAGTAAGAACAGAACCTGATTGAGATATTTTTGAAGAAGTTGCCAAGATATTATTTCTATCTCTGTGTTTTTGTATTTAATTTTTAGCAGTCAAATATCTTGGGTGGAAGATTGAAGTAAAGAGGAAAAACAGAGAATGAACTTACTGAAAAGTATGTTCATTAAGATGCTGATGGTCTAAAAATTCACCTCAAGATCTACTATTGACCTAGAGTCATTTCATGAATGTATCTTATCACCACAGTAATAAACTCAACATAATTATGATGGTTTGTATTTGATCCATATTTTATGAGTTTTTACCAGGAAAATCTTTCTAGAAACTGCTTCTACTGCTTTATTAACAATGAAACGTCAGGTATTAAAGACAGCAGAAGGAAGAGCTATTAATTCAGCAACATCTTATAAATGTGAAACAAGGAGGAAAAAGAATAACACAGTCCAGTATTTAGAATAAGTTTAACCAAAAGCTGAGCATGCATATGACCTGAGATGGTGTAATTTCATATTGCAGATATAGCCTGAGATTTAAAATTTCTGAAACAGAAGGAAACTGGTTGCATATCCTTGTAACAAGTAACTACAAATTACTTTAAAACCATTGAGAGGCAGCGATTTTAGGAAAACCCAGTGCATGTATTTTGTCAACCCCTCTCAAGTGCCATTAATTATGAGATCTTTGAGAACATTCTATAGATTCTCAAAATTATATTTGTTTAAAACATAATGAGTGACACAGAATTTCTCTAAATTATATGGTTAACCTTATGTTTACAAATAACAGGGAGGATGTGAGGGTGATCTGGCTGCGACATCTGTCACCCCATTGATTGCCAGGGTTGATTCGGCTGATCTGGCTGGCTGGGCGGGTGTCCTCTTCCTCCCTCATCGCTCCACAAGTGTCGGAAACGGAAGCTGCGCTCTCTGGAAGAGGGTATATGAGTAACTGCGCTCCCCTGTTGGAACCTCCAAACCAGCTCTCAAGTAACAGGGAAACACCAAATAGGCGTATAATTTGTAAAAGGTGGTCTATTCAGGGTAAAATGTCTAGATCCTACTGTGTCTTTTCGTTCACTGCCCCAAGTTGAGAGTGCGAGATAACAGATCACAGCAGTGCTAATCCTCATTCCTTCAAATTAGCCACTTCTAAGATGAAATAGGCACAAGCACACCCAAACAGAATATTCAAGATGTTCCTGTACAGGCATTAAAAAATAATTTTGTTGACCTGTTTTCAATTGTCATAAATCTAAAGCCCTGCATATTTTATATGCTTGACCTTCTCAACTAGAGGTGATTTTTACTCCCCAGGGAATATTTGACATCGTCTGGGGATATTTTTGGTTTGTCAGGATTGGGGCCAAGAGGTACAATTGACATCTCCTGGGTAGAAACAAGGGCTGCTGCCAAACATCTTAAACACAGGAAAGCCCCCCACAACGAAGAATTATCCAGTGCCAAAGTTGAGCTGACTCTAACCCATGTTGACCTGAGTTTGTCTGTCAATAGAAACGATGAAGCCATGATTGTGATATACTTATCATGGTCTCCGGTGAGGGACTGGACATAATGTGAGACAGAAAATTACGGAGGTGCCTCATATAGACATTTAAGTGAATATTTTCCTCTAAATGGTGGTAAAGCATTTCACAGACATAAAATAGTTGCCACTTGTCTCTCAGAATAAAATAGCCTTAGAAGATGATGCCTTTATTGTTTCCAAAGGTCAGGAAGACCTTGGTCATCTCTTTGAAAAGAAATAAATATGTGCTTTGTGATAACCAGTGCATTCAGTATGTTTCATAAATCTTCCAGAACACTCAAAAATAATACCTCTCATCTATTATCTGTTTCACATTGGAACATTTTCTAAAAACAAAATGTAAAGGGTTGAATTTGCTCTTGGTTGATAACTGTGTCATTTTAATACTTCTGGCAATCACCACTTCCTTCTAACCACAGTCAGATGGCTTAATTTGTCCCCCATTTGAAGATTTTGGTAAGAGTAGGCATAAAGCATCTTGTTTGGGGAAGTTTAAAGGTTATTAAGTTCTGAATAACAGAGTCGCTTGTGTTTTCCCACCAAACTTTTCCCAGCAGTGAATATATCTGGATCTTATTCTGCTTTTTTATTCTTTTTTTAGCTTCCTGAAATGACTCATGTTCAAACACAGCGACCCTGGTTGATGTTTCTCCTACAGAACTTTGGGTTGGTGGTAGGCTGGATCTCTGTCTTACTCTTGGCTATATATGAGCAAAATATTACAATATAAAATGAGTCTCAGAATCCTTCAAAGTGAATTTATATAGCATTACTTTGTTTCTTTTGTTTTATGCAATAGTGATTCAAATTACTTTTTATCAATGAAGTATTTATCTTTCAATTCATTAACTTTATAATGTAATAATGTCATTTTTGTAGTATATAAATGTCAGGTTGTCATCAATTAAAAATTTCATTTTAAACTCTGGCACCATAATGGAACTCATACCACATTTGGTAATTAGTAAATTCTAAGTTGCTTCGAGTTAAGTTTTAAAAAGATATTGTTTCCCTAATAAAGAATGTTTGTAGTATTTGAAGTGGTCAGATGCCTGCTGGGATAAAATCTGTTGCAATTTCTTTGATGTCAATATTATATTTTTTTCCCTGTGAAATTATAAACCATAAACTGGACTACAAACAAATAATAAAAGCTAATTTAAGGTGATGGTTTGTATTACCGTGTATTTCCAAATGTCAGATTCTAAATTGACGCTCACAAAACCAATATTGTTCAGCTGGAAGCATTACTACTGGCTCATAAATGCTCATAAATAAGCAAACTTGGGAGTCTGAAGAATAACATGTCAACATTTTTCTATATAGTCACCCTGTGAAATCTGTTGTATGAAAGGAGAGCTGGAAACAAAATGATGAAATTCAAAATTTTTAAAATGACAAAGCTTGAGTCAGGCAAAAGATTAATACATAAACACTCATAGGTTAAGCTATGAGTGTTTATGTATTAACCAATTGTTTATGTATTCCCATTGTTTATGGGAATAACCAATGACATGTAAAAGAGATTTCACATTCTCTCTAAGGAATTATAGAGCCCTGAACATTAGTTCAGCAGGTAAGTTCATGAAATGTACAACAGCATGGCTGATATCCTAGAAGTAGTACTAAAATAGAAAATAATCCTCACGTTAATCATTTTTTTTTGAAAATTGATGCTTAATGGTTTTTATGCTTTTTCAATATATTTTGACAAAGGAAAGCCCATTCAACTGCTAAAAAGGACTCTTGGCACTCAACTATGTCCATCTCATCCTCTCCAGCAGCTATGCTTTGCCATCTCCCACTCCACTATAATCTTTTTCAACCACTTTTCTTTGATTTGAAAGTGAGATGGATTTTTTGTTGTTGTTCCTTTGTCTTCAGAGCTTGATTTAAGGGAATGTAAGAACATAGTCGTTCTCATACTTTGGCAAAAGTTAGGGTCAACTGGAGGATTTATTCAAACAGACTACTAGGCTTCTACCTGAGATTTCCTAATTCTGTAGAGCTGGGAACATCTAGAGGGCTCGAGGTTTTTTTTTTTTTTAATATTTATTTATTTATACAGAGCTGGGGGTACAAGATCAGGAGAGGTCTGCCATGCCATGTGGATCACCTCCAGGGCTGGAGATGATTGAATTCTCACTGAAGCAGCTGCAGCCAGCATGCAGTGCTGTGTCCTAACCTTTTGTGCCACCAGGGAGAGCTGTAGAGGGCTTGATTTTGAACAGTTTCTAGGTGACAGTGATATACAGGTGCTGTTGGGGAGGACACACTGCATAGTGTGATAGAAATCAGGTCACCGACTTCTAGAAACAGCAGATAACAGCAATATTGCCTACGAGCAGTGTGATTTGGACTAAGTTGACTAATGCTCTACAAACCTCATACTAGACATGAGTTTCAGGTTAGAATCTCCTCTCTTTGTCTCCTGCCTTTGAGCATCAGATCAGTCCCAAGTGTTACTGAATGAAGAATTCACAGAAACTTGTTCATATTTGCCTTGAAAAGTAAGTAGACCTGACTTGGAAAGTTTTGCTTTTGTTAGAGAATAATTTGTAGTTGAACAAGACACCCTTGCTACAGGTTAACACAGAACGGAGGTTTTATATAAAAAGCACCTGACACCATCTTTCTGTATTTGGGTTTCTTTGACTAAGTGTTGATTTTGAAATTAAGACTTAAGTTTCCAGTTACATTGGAAAAACTGCCGGATATTCTTGTTTATACTAGTTGGGGCTGCTAAATTAAATTTTTTAGTGTGAGCTACTCACTCCCTAGTCTCAAGTTTAAGTGAGTTTAACTTGATCCTGTGTTGAACCTTGATGGGAGCCTGGTTGTGGAAGGGTTTGGAGCATGTAGCTCCACAAGGCACAGAAGAGGTTTTCCATGATCTGAGCATATGGGGAAAGGGTCCTGAAGCCCTCAGTGTATTTTTTGCAGGCTTTCTACACCATTTGTAGTGAGGCAACTTGGTGCAGAGCAGGTTAGGGGGCCAAGGGACCCAGGAAGCTGGGAGACCTCCTGGCACCAGTGACGCTTCACTGTCCCCGGGATTTTAGGCATCTCTTGTAGCCTCCCCGCTGCTGTCCACTGCACTCTTCTGCGTGGTCCTGTGCTGGTGGTGCCTCTGCTGCCCTGCTCTGTTCTTTGCCCACCTCTCGGCTCGGAGTGCCCTCTCACTTCCACTTACTCTACAGAGGGACATCCTCAGTGAAAGCTTTGCAAACCTATCTTAAGTGTGTCCTGACATAGGCAGAAACTTAGTCAGAGGTCATCTTAAGACTACTATGAACTAGGGCCCTCCCTGGTGGCACTAGGGGCTGGAGTGTGGCACTATGAAAATGTCCAACCCCACTGCAGCATGAGTTCGATCCCTAGCCAGAGAGTGACCCACATGGTGCGGCAGACCTCTCCTGACCCGCCTGCTGCTCCCATCAACAGTGTATTTCACTAGATCTGCCTATATCTGTTCCCCACTCTGTCTCTGTTGAATCCTCTCACTGACCTGTACCCCAGTTCTTATGTGCATAAATATCTTTAAAAAAATACTAGTATGATGTAGTGATGCCTGAGGCCACATTAGAGGCTCCACTTCCTGTGTCCTCCCCCACATCACCTTATGACCAGCTGTTTACTAAGCCACTACAGGTGAAGTCACTTGCTAATCCTTAACATCTAATAGCCTGCCATGGACTTCCAGCTACAAGCTATCTTAAAAGTACTGAAGTTCTCTTAAACATAGAGAGGAACTGTGTAGGGTAAATGGAAGCCATCAGGTTTTTCTGCCCTCCCCACCATTAGCATCAATGATCGACACCTGTGGTCTTCTACATGCGCTTGTTCGCAGCACTGGGAGTAGGGTGTGGGCATGCGTGAGTGGGCACACCTGAGCCGGACCATGGGGCATTGAGGGCAGCAGCAGAGAGCAGAGAAGAGAGCATGGTGGCAGGATGCAGTAGAAGCCAGCAGAGAGACCTCGCGAGACAGCCAGAGAGCCCAGAAGGAGTAAAGGTTTGCGGGGGGCTAGCAGGCCTGCCAGTCTCCTGGCCCCCCATGTCCCCTGCATGCCCCCTGGTTGCCTCCCTACTGATGGTGTAGAAAGGTCACTAAAGGCCTGGAACAGCCACCAAGGGCTCCAGGCGCCTCCTCTTCCTGTGTGCCCAGATCATAGAGAACCTGCCCTGTGCTTCCTGGCACTGTATACTGATAAAAATATTTTGACAACTATTTGCTTCTAAATATGGACAAAGTCTAAATGTGGAATGGCTGACCATCATCCACCTCTTAAGTTGTCTATGTTTTGTGTTAATAACTGAGTTTTGGGCAAATAGTGTTTTCCTTGAAACCAGATTTCTCAGTGTTAGAGTAGTTCTGTTTAGTAAGCCTAAATTTAGGATTCTACTACATTTCTACTCGCCTAAATTTAGGATTCCACTATATTTCTACTCAGTGATTGATTTGTTTTTTAGTCAAGGAACTAGAAATTCTGTTGGAGAAAAATCAAAGTGCAAATCATACAGAAATCTTACTTGAGCATCCATCACCTACTGACAGAGTTGTCTTTAGGGGAAGGGGAATTGGCATGATGGCTTGTGGCTGAGCACAGGCCTTGAGGAGATGGTCCCATTGCTGTGTGCTGTTCAGGAACATAGTGTTACATAAATGTCTATAAATTCTGACCAACCCCATCTCCTGCCCTCTCTCCTACAATGCAGAGTTTTAATCCAGCAGTTTTAACAGTCCTCCTTGGTCCTGCCCCATTAAACCTGCTCTTCAATATGTCTCAACCTTTAGCAGTTGATTTTACTATTTCAGCTCACCTGAATTTGTTTACAAAATAATACCAAAATCTAATTAATACACATCACCACACTTAGTTCTAATTCCTTTTCTGCCCTCAACGACTTTCAAATATATAATACAGTATATTAATTATACTCACCATGTTGTCCTTAACATTTCATAACTTAGCTTATAACTGGAAGTCTGTACATTTTGACCATTATCACCCATTTTTCTCATCCCGTCCCCTATGCCCTTGCTTCTGGTAACATCATTCATTTCTATCTACAAATTCCATTTTGTTTAATTTTTAAGAGTCCATGTTTAAGTGAGGTCATATGTTATTTGTCTTTCTCTGTCTTGTTTTATGTCGCATACTGCCCTTAGGGTCCATCATCATGTCTCAAATAGCAAGGTTTCTTTTTTATGACTGAGTGATATTCCCGTGTATGTGTGTGTACATATGTATATACATATATGTATTGAGTGTGTGTGTATACTTACATGCAAATATTCATTGTCCTTTATATACATATAATTTAATATAATGTATATTGTATTAAATATACAAATATACGATATATTTAATATAATGTATGTATAATATAATATATAATGTAAGAGAGGTATCTGATTTCCTTAGTTATATGTTATAGCCTCTTATTAGATTCACCTTTATTTTTATGTAATTACCTTTCTTTGTATTTTATGATACTGTCTTCTAAAGTCCATTTTAAAATTTAAAGTCTATTATAGTGATGATATAAATTAAAGCTATTACAGATTTTAATTTCCATTTGCAAGGAGTATCTTTTTCCATTCTTTTGCTTTTTTTAATCTGTTCTTGCAGCTGACATGAGTCTCTTCTAAGCAGCATGTAAGTAGGATTTGTATCCTAATGCATTCTGCCATTCTATGGCTTCTGATTGAATAATATGTTTATAT